ATAATAAACTGACAAATAACTGAGGAACATATAAGACAAATAGAATGACAACAGACATAGCAGACGGTAGGACAGACCCAACAGATATAATAAACATACCAGACCCATTAGCAACATTAATAGTAATAGGAAAGGGAGAAGGAGTACAATTTTGAAGTAATGAGAGATGAGGAATCATATGATGAGAGACACCAGAGTTAAAAATCCAGACAGACGAAAAGATACCTAAAGAAGACCCAACCAAACCTGAATGAAGGGAGAAAACAATGGAGGCAAACGGAGATGGTTAGAAGGTAGACAATATATGTTGCAGCTGACTAATCTGAGCACTTAAGGAAGTCAAGTGAGGATCAGGAGCCGGAGCAAATGCAGTAAAATCGGCGGGAGACCGAAAAGTACTCGAAGGAGGGGTGCAGAATTGGATCTGAAACTGCTGAGACGACGAGGCAAACATGTGCCTCTTCTTGGGACACTGATGCTTCCAATGACCTCTTTGATGGCAGAAGGCACACTCATCAAAAGCTAGAGACATCGTAATAATGACAGAGAAGAGGGGTTCAAGTATAATAAGTCCAAAATAGAGCGAAATAGGCAAACCAGGGGTCAAAGGGTAATAAATAGACAATTAGAACTAGATCACCACAAAACTTATACTGATGTGGTCAAAGTGTAATAAACCCAAAGTAGACTAAAGTAACCACATCAATATCAGATTACCCGACAACCTAAAGCACCAGATCAACCAGTCGAACAAGAGAGAGAGAGAGAGAGCAGCTTGGTGTCGCAATTCCAAACCAGATTGAACCAGAGTGCTCGCGATGGGTCGCGATTCTAGAGTAGCAGAAAGAACGAACTTTGGTGCTCAGAGGACCATGGAACAAGGACCACCCATGAGAACCAGTTGATGAACCCTAAGTCAACGAAATCAAAGGAAAGAGAAGACCAATAGTGAGAGGAGTTCCGACTGAAGGTCACGAACCAAAGAGGGATCAAGACGGATGGCCCTTCAACTAGCGAAGACGAACCATGACGACGACGAACTAGAGCTAGAAATCGCAAGGTCTAGAGATGTCGGACGAACCAGAGATGTCAACCGTAGAGGAGTTACGAACCAGACTAGAGAACCCACACAAATCAGACGACGACTCGAACAGAGGACCAAACGAACCAAACCCAATCTCGAACTAGATGGGTCGCACGTATTCAGAAGGTTGAACCTAAGAACTCAATGAAGCAAAGAAGCTTGGACAATGGCTGCTAGGGTTTCGAACCTAACTCTGATACTGTAATAACCCGACCCTCATATATGCTTAAGTCTTTAATTATTATGTGCTTGATATGAAATTCTATGTGAAATTGTGTTTAACTATGTGAATTATATGGTTATGAAATCATATCTGTCGGTTATAAGAAAATCTATTAAAATTGAGATATTTGGACAAGAAATTGAAAGCCTTAGAGGCGTGATAATCCGAAATTGACTTTACATTTAGGATTAGCATGATTTTTAGGACATAATATATATTTTCGTAAAAACCTGATTTGTAATGAATTAAATTGATTTAATTGGGCTAGCCTTATATAAGCCTAGATATGAGAGACAAGGAACACTTAGAGTCAAAAACATAAACTTTCCTTGAGAAAGAAGAAAGGATAAGAGAAAAGAGAGAGAGAAAAGGGGAATCACCTAGGAGCTTGAAGAATTTGAAGGAAATCAAAGATTAGAGATCAAAGTTAGTGTATAACAACTCAAATATCCTAAACTTTCTTCCAATTCATTGTTATTAGGCAAGTAAATGAAGCTTTATACTCATCTAAGTTAGGGTTATGATATAAAAACCCTTGTTTGAGGAAATATTCGTTGTAAGCATCAAGATGCATTATATTTGTCTAATTTCAGAGTTAGTTCTCGTATTTTGGGTTTGTTTTATTTAACTTGAGAGGATATCTTCAAGCTTGCAAGTTTTGATCTCTATATGTTTGTCTCTCTTTTGGTTAATTTTAAAAAGATAAATGGATAACATGAATTATGATCATCAAGTTGCATGAAATTCCTTTTAAATGAGTTATGATCTAAGTACGTATGAGATTCATGTTTATTATGTTTACATGTAGCGATATTGGAAGAGAATTTGCTTGTTATTCACCTTAATAATGGTCTTGAAGAGTTTGATGTTTGGAGTTGTTCGGACTGCTCAAACAGGGCACACGACCACACGTGCGGAGGCCATGGCTGCACGTGCGGGATGTACAGCCGTACGACTGCACGTGCAGAAAACTGGGGAGACAGATTGAAGCTTCTGCAATAAAAGCACGTGTGGACCGCACGTGTGGTGAAGGACTCCCGCACGTGCGGCACATGGGGAAAATTTATGTTGCTTTATTTAGCCCTATTTGACCCTCAAAAATTATTATTGTATACGTTTGATCCTTCAAAAGTGCTTACAATTCCTCATAGATTAACGAATCGAACATTTACCAAAAAGGAAAAAGTTAAAGGAAAGTGACTTACTTGTGACTTGTATGCTATAAGTAGGTCACGTGCATGAGGGAACTGTTACTTGTCCACATCACTGTGAGTAGTAGTAGTGTATCAATATGTTTATTTTACAAATTGTGCTCATACCTTATCCACTATGTTTAAGAATAATGCATGATACATAAGCTATGTTGAATGGACTACCTAACACGATTGAACAATAAAAACAATGGTATATATTGGGCCTAAGGCCGTTCTGTATATATTGGGCCTAAGGCCGTTCTGCTTATGTTGGGCCTATGGCCATTCTATATTGTGCTGTTGGGCCTAAGGCCGTTCTGTCCTATGATGTTGGGCCCAAGGTCGTTCTAAGTTATGATTTTGGGCCAAGGCCATTCGGAAGGAATTATGATTAAGACAAGCTCATAACTGGTTTAATTATAATCTTAATATGTTATGCTTAATCACGTGAATCTTACTACATTGCTATTATCCACTAAGCCTTACTCATTTTTATGTAGTGTGTTATGTAGGTGACCAATCCGGAGGACAACCATAGGTCAACCCCAGAAGCCCTTTTGCTAGATCTGTCTGGCCGAGTCTCCCATTGTGGCCTTTTGCTTTAGTTTGAGAAGATTTGCGTGGTAGCATATTTTTGTCAAATCCTCTGGATGATGGGTCTTATACTTAACTTTCAGTTTGTTAGCCATTTGTATAGACTTATACATGTAATGGATGCCTTGTCTTATATGAACATGTCGTGCATTTATGTATGATATGATATGTCAAGATCCTGACATTTAGGCACAGCTCAATGAATAACATTTTAATGTTATTGTTGCTTCCGTTCAGGCCCCAATAATGGATATAACTTAAGGAAACTTGGTTTTGAGGCCTAAGTTCAGGCCGGTCATGTCCAAACTTTTTAAGGGCAGGTTTGGGTCGTGACAGATACCATGTAAGTTTTCTGAATAATAATCTATATGTTCAAATTGTGTACTAATACAAAGAATACATCTAATTATACAGTAAACCTAACCCTAAAACTAAAAAGGAAACACTACCATATATATACACCTAAAACACTGCCATAAATACATACCTGTACAATCTCTCAGAAAAGGAAACACTGCCATATATATAAACCGAACCTAATATTCTCACAAAAGAGTCCTCAAACAAGAAGTTTCAGAACAACAAAAACAAAAACAAAAAAGCCCAAAACTAGGAATGGAAAATAGTAGCCCAAACCCTAGAAATTAAGAAAAATAGAACTCCTCTAAAAGGCTTAGACACAAAAGCCCAAAGCGAAGTTGATCTTTGTGAGTCTCTTAAACAAATTTGGGATTCTCTTGCAGACTCTTTTTCACATCAAAGTAATGTTTCTCAAATATATGAGAATATTTTTTTCCTAATAAGCAATATCGACAACAGTTGTCTGGCTATTACAGCACTCTAAAAAAAATTGTGAGATCAGTTACCACAACATAGGCTTTTACCATTGAGTTGAAACAACAAAAGCAACCTTGGGAAAAGTTTATGATTGCATCATGGTTGTCTAGATTAGATTCAAATTTGCAGGGCTTTAAAGATCATTTTCTTGCTAGTGAGACTTTACCCACTACCACTCCGTTAGCATCTTCAACTTTAGTTTCTAGCAATTGAAGACGGGATAGTTCCTGCAGTGATTTTTGTGATGGCCTTGGTAAGCGTGATTCTCAAGGTGTTCCTATGGTGGTGGTTCACATGGACGTGGTAATAAGTGTGACCATTGTGGTTCCACTAACCATACTGAACCATAGTGCTACACTGCCACAACAAATTTCCAGTGACTCCTGCTTCTGATTTTCATAATGCACTCACTACTCAGATTAGTAATCTTGTTGAGCTTGTCCAAACATTTCTTCCCTCGTCTTTTACTGCCACCTTGGCTTATTTAGGTAATATTGCATGTGTAGCCAATTCACACCAACCTTGGCTCATAGATTCCAGAGCTTGCTCTCATATGTCTAGTAATTCTTCTTCTTCTTCTTTTTTTTTTTTTTTTCTACTTTGACTCCTATTACACCACATATTGTCTCAGTCAATGGATCTTCAAGTCCTATTAGCAGGAAAGGTGTTCTTCAACCCACTAAGTTATTACAATCTGTTCAATTCCTTTCAAGCCGAAGATTGGGGCTGGAATTTCGATTATGAAGGAGATTCCATGACTGATGGCGGCAAGAGTTTGTGATGATTGAAAGAAAGAAAAAGAGGTCCCAACTAGTTTGACTTGTTCGTTGAGGCTCCAATTGTCTAGGTTCAAATTGTGAGGTGAACCAAGGAGGCTATTAGCTAGGGTTCGAAGGAAGGTCAAACACACAACATTATAACGACAAGCTAGGATATTGCAAAGGTAGCAGTAAAATTCAAATTAAAAAAAAAATTAATAAACAAAAGAAAAGGACATTCAATGAAATGCATTCTTATTACAAACTAACATGAAGACACTAAATTGAATAATATAAAAGCAATGAGGAGTAAAAATTAACTTTTTATTTCAACATACCAGATTGTCAGTAGGACCAACATTTGGCTGGAGAGGGATCGAAGCCATGTGTGACAGACTAATTTCAGCAGTGATTGGTGTAGAAGCCCCAAAATCATTTCGACTAAACCGATTAATGGGATCATCTTGCCGAGGCCACAGTGATGCAAAATTTTCTGTTAGGGGGAAAGATGTGAAAGAAGGTAGAAAACCCACATTGACCTGGTGGGAGACACTAGTCCTTGGCAATAGATGCTGGCAAAGTTGCAAATGAACAATACAATAATCAAATAACAGCAGAAAAATAACAAGGGTAAGTAAACAGTTAACCATGCACATAAAAACTCGACATTCAAAATGGGGTGGACCAGTGGAATTCAAAAGCCATTTCAAAATTATTGCCTAATCAGACTACAAAATCTTGAAAGACTTGTCTATAATATGTACAAATATTTATTATTTACTTAAGCTTCAAAATTTTAATAAGAGAGCCAGAAAATGAGCCCAGCAGCTCTCAGCTTGGAAATGATTTGTTCAACTGAAAAAATAAAAACAACCGTGAGCAGCATTTAAGGTTCACTTTATAATGAGCTGAGTCCAAGCAATCTTAAGCTGTGCTCAACAAGCTTTGAACAAAGCATACATAAATATTATATGTCCATAACCATAGGGAACAATTGGAGTTGATGTTTATATTATAACTCCTCTTACAACCAGGGCCTAGACTTTTCCATTCTATTCCCATCTCTCTCGCTCTCTCTCAAGTCCCACCCTTTTCAAAGCATTTCTGTGGTGTCTCATTTAGACTATTCCCCAATGCAAGTCCCCTACAAGCCAGGGTGTTGGGTAGAGAAGACTGGATATGAACCTAACCATTGGCAAAATTTTAATTGTCTGCCCTTAGACTTGAACCAGCATTCTCTAATTTGAGTTTAGATTTAGATCCAACTGGGGCCGCAAATAAAGTGAGTTGTTCACAAAACACTTGTCAGTGTGCCTTCAAACTCATTCAACACATAAATGAGCCCAGCTCCAGCTCAATTTCAAAACTTGTTTCATAGACGAGCTGAGCTCGATCTTTAGTGAGCTCAACTAAGTAGACTCATGAATGACGACAAATGTTTCCTTGAAAGGGTACAACACATGAACATAATAGAATGCATTGGATTTTTGCTTGTTTAGTTTTGATAAGTGAGCCAAACTTATCAGGTTCTTTGACATTTCTTAATTGTAGACTTGTAGTTGTAGCCCCAAAAGAACATGCCAAAGCTTTCTGTCAGAGTTTGGGTAAGTTAAAGTTTTCAACATCATGATTGTTGCAACAACCAAGTGAGCCAAGCTAGAGCTACTTGCATACTGTTAGAGTATTCGAGTGCTTATGCTGTGGTAAGGGCACTAAGGGCACTATTTTAATCTTCTACTGTTTTAATAAAAATGTGCCAAGGTGGAGGATTTGATAGAATACCGAAAATCTATTTGTCTAATTCTCTTCTTGTCTTCTCTTATTTCTCTGCCCTTCTCTTTGTATTTAACACTTCACCTTGGTATCAGAGTACTCTATACCAATCCTAGAAGCCATTACAGATCTCCAAAGACTGTTGACACATAATAACAGAGTGTTGATGTCAGCAACCTATGATGACATCAACAGCCAATGTACAGCAAGTACCCTCTCTGAATTCTCTCTCCCTTCCCTCCTGATAATTATTGTGATTTTTTTTTCCTTTCTTTTTTTTTTTTCTTTTTTTGAGGTTGTTTGTTGCAACTTTTCTATTTCAAAGCATTTTCAGTTTTTTACCCCTATTTTTTGATCCGCAAGATGTAGACTGGTCCATACGGTTTGATGATTGGGATTCCTTCTATGGGACCAAAATACATTTTACAAGTCTCTTTTGGTGTTTTTTTGATGATGTGGTGGTCTTGGGATTTTTTTTGGAGTCGGCAATGAGAGAAGTTGTGTTTGGCAGTCAAGTTCTCGCCCTATTTGCATTGTTTGGCTCTTCCTATGGCCTTGTTCTCTGATTGGTTTATTATCCTTGGCTGGGTCTGGACCTCCTTTGCTTTGGTAGTGCATATGTTGGTTCACAGTGGGTTTGGTACAAGATTTTTGTTTTTGTAAACTTGTTGGCTTGGTTGATCTACTATAGCTGAGCAAAACTCCCTTTACTTCAAGATGATGATTTACCAAAATCGATTACCATGAAGAAGTTGAAAGGATTGATTTATTTGGCATGGGCACATGCCAGTAAAGTATTTCTGCATAGGAAAAAGAGTGAAATTTATTACAGTCCTACCTCCCCCGCAAGGGAATTCCACACATGATGATTGGTTGAGTGGGAATTCCATTATTATGTGAGAAGCTCTGCTACAGTTTGGAACCCCCCCTTGCATAGCTAAGATTTTTTTTTTTTTTTAAAAGTGATGAAGAATATTATTAAGCACAATCAAGAAAAGAGAAAGAGGACAAGTTGTCCTCAAACAAGAAGTTCTAAAACAACAACAAAAACAAAAACAAAAACAAAAAAGCCCAAAACTAGGAATGGCAAATAGTAGCTCAATCCCTAAAAATCAAGAAAAATAGAGCTCCTCTAAAAGGCTTAGACACAAAAGCCCAAAGTTGATCTTTGTGAGTCTCTTAAACAAATTTGGGATTCTCTTGCAGACTCTTTTTCACATCAAAGTAATGTTTCTCAAATATATGAGAAGTTTTTTTTACCAATAAGCAGTATCGACAACAGTTGTCTGGCTATTACAGCACTCTAAAAAAATTTGTGAGATCAGTTATCACAACATAGGCTTTTTACCACTGAGTTGAAACAACAAAAGCAACCTTGGGAAAAGTTTATGATTGCATCATGGCTGTCTAGATTAGATTCAAATTTGCAGGGCTTTAAAGATCATTTTCTTGCTAGTGAGCCTTTACCCACTACCTCTTCATTAGCATCTTCAACTTTAGTTTCTAGCAATTGAAGACGGGATAGTTCTTGCAGTGATTTTGTGATGGCCTTGGTAAGTGTGATTCGCAAGGTGGTTCCTGAGGTGGTGGTTCACATGGACGTGGTAATAAGTGTGACCATATTGTGGTTCCACTAACCATACTGAACGATGATGCTACACTACCACAACAAATTTCCACTCATGGACATGTGACTCCTGCTTTTGATTCTCATAATGCACTCACTACTCAATTAGTAATCATGTTGAGCTTGTCCAAACATTTCTTCCCTCATCTTTTACTGCCAACTTGGCTTATTTAGGTAATATTGCATGTGTAGCCAATTCACACCAACCTTGGCTCATAGATATTCCAGAGCTTGCTCTCATATGTCTGGTAATTCATATCTTTTTTCTACTTTGACTCCTGTTACACCACATATTGTCTCGGTCAATGGATCTTCAGGTCCTATTAGTAGGAAAGGTGTTCTTCAACCCACTAAGTCATTACAATCTGTTATCAATTCCTTTCAAGACGAAGACTGGGGCTGGAATTTCTATTATGAAGAAGGAGATTCCATGAAAGATGGCGGCAAGAGTTTGTGATGATCGAAAGAGAGAAAAAGAGGTTCCAACTAGTTCGCCTTGTTCGTTGAGGTTCCAATGGTCTAGGTTTGAATTGTGAGGTGAACCATGGAGGCTGTTAGCTAGGGTTCGAAGGAAGGTCATCCAACTAGTGTTTCAAATTTGATTGGCGATGAAGTCAAACACCAACGGAGAGAAATGATTTGCCAATGGATCTGGTTGACAACAATTCCAACGATGATGACAATGATTCTGGTAACTATAGTTTCAGAAAAGTCCAAGCTCTAATACCATGTTAGCAGAGATTGGAAAAGAGAAAAAGGACTTAATGGCTGCTCAGTTATTGCCTAAATAAAATTACATAATACAAAAGAACCTAATAAACAATGATACCCTAAGAAAAGTGAAGCAACTGACAATAATTAAACTACCCTCAAGTATTAATATATTATAGAAATACGTGTCTCAACAATCACACACATGCATGTAGTGCAAGAATAGGTACTTTTAAGTGTGTAAACCTAAGTAATTATTTTCAAAGATTCAATTAAGAACTACAATAGAAGAAAATTTTCCACCAAAAATTTCCCAATGTAAAACATTTATGTTGAGAAAATCAAATAATTAACAAGATTTTTCTTCTCAGAAAATCCCTTCTTCCCTAGTTTCATTTTACACTGGCAGGAATCATTGAATGCTATCATGATGACAATGCTACGTCAAGGAGCCTTCAACGGAAGTATACACCATAACAGGCTATAATCTTCAAATATATGCATATAAAATTTTAGAACGTGTGAGTCCCCTAGTTCTGTTTTTAAAGTGCAGCCTGCTACCTCTAGTTAGTGGTTCTGTAACGTGAACAATCTAACAAAGCTACGAGTTCAAATTTAAAAATCAACCAATAAATGTTCCCATTTGTCAAACATGCTACATATGCAAGACACAAAGACACACACATCCAACAAATTCTACTATAAATATTGTACCTATTATGATAAACAAGTTAGAGAAGCATCACCTGCTCTCTGGACATTTCTTCTTTCCACTGGTCCTGATATTTCTGGAATAACAGAATAAGAGTGCTTTGCAAATCAAGAGGCAGATCAGGTGGAAAGAGCTTCAGAATATCATCACCGGTGAAGTTCTCATTTACACATTTTCTGATAAGTGAACGAAGGCATGCCAGAACCTACGGTCAGAAGGGGTTTAGGAGGGTAATTATAGATGGATTATAGAACTGGATAGAAAAAATAAGAATACAAGTGAAGTAATATCCATAGCAACAAACAAAATATTATTAATATACAACAAAAAAGTACAACAAAAAATAGAACCAAAGGTCCACCACAGAGGGAAGTAAAAGAGACCCAAGATTAATATGTCCTAAAGACTGCATTGCAAAGTGAAAGATTTGCTGTTTTGGCCTTTTTTAGGGTGCAGATGGGCAACAATCAAAATTGTTTAACTGATAACAAAATTAATTATTATACCAGGTTTTTCAAAAATGGGAACAATGCAGCAATAGGTTAGTTAAAAATTAAAATTTAAAAAAAAAATTACATAAAAGAAAAGAAAAGAAAAGTGCATATCCATGCTAGCTCAAAATTAGCTTCACTGTAGTACTTACTTCTTAGAGCTCTAAAAAAAATCAAACAAAACTCGTAATGTTTTCTCTGCATTTCTTGGAATGAATTTCCTGTGCTTTGAAAACCAAAACCCACAAAACAGAAAATAAAATTTAAAAATTGCTAAAACAGGTTTTTTCAAAAATGTAATGAAACAATGCAGCACTAGATTTGTTTTAAAAATATGTACAGGCTGAAATATTTTCATATTATATAAACCCCAAGATTTTCTAGGAAAATTTAGTGTTATTCTAGCTAACCCAACAATTTTTTCTCCATTTCACTGTAATTCTTTGAACTCTAAACACATCAAGCAAAATTTGGCACTGTTTTCTCTGCATTTCTCGAATTGCAACCTATCTTTTGCGTTTCAAAACCAAAACTCATAGAATTGAAAAATAAATAAATAAAATAAAAAATGTTTGAAAAGAGATACAGAGAGAAAGATTACAGGATCGAGTTCGGAGGAGGAAGGAAGATTGAGGAGAGACTGAAGGGAAGATTTGTTGGGGCCAGAGAGACCGGTTTTTCTGGTATTCCAAAGAGTGGAGAGGATGTGTTGGAGGTCTTCTTGGGACTTTATGGTTGATAGCTTGTGCAGTTGCAGGTATATCACTGTCTCTCCCTCCATTTTCCTGCCACTTTTCTCTGCTTGTTGCTGCCACTGGTAATGTTTAAAACCCTCTCTTTCTTCTTCCTTTATTTTTCTTTCTTTTTTTGAGAAGTTACAAAATAAAAATAAAAAATAGTAACAAATAAAATGGTTTAAGGTGGTTGTTGATCGCTAAAGATAGTGGCTGATCACCAAAGGTGATGGCTAAAGATGTTTTTTCAACAAGATGTGGTAGTTACCAATGTAAGGTGGTTACTAGGGAAGGTCTTCGGTGATAGTGGCCAGAGGTGGTGGAATTGATGAGTAGTGAGAGCATCCATACCAATCTCTTCAAATTCTTGGTCAAATTATAATTTAAAAAACTATTTTGCTATTTTAGCTAGTCACCTTTTTAGTATCCACTTCATCAAACTCTTTATTCTAACTTAACCCATTAAAATATTATTTTTTTATTGTATTTGTTATTCTTTCTTTTATTATTAAATTGATGAGCTGGCTTGATCAAGTAGCACTAGAATGCCAGCCAAACAATTCATATGTTCCTTTATAAAGGTAAAACTAGAGGAAACGAGTGCTTGCGGTTCAACTCGGGCATTCATCGTGTTGATCTCCGATTGAGTTGAAAATTTTTGTGATTGATCTACTCAATCAACTCTAAAATATAAACAGATCGGATCATTAGAAAGTCACCGACATGGTAGCCAACTGGTGCTTTTTGGGCAAAACCCCAAATCCAAAATTGAACCATATTCTTCGATCATTCTACTCTGCATTCCATCCTCTCTCTAAGAGTTATATTCAATGACATGAACAATCAACAATACATTTCACACTTGATCACTTTCAATTAAACAGTGGTAGACAATGAGCAATCAACAATACATTTCACTTTCATTGAGGCAATTTATCGAACAATTGTGATACAAAAATTTTGTGCACACAAAGTTTTAAAGATGTTTAGCATGAAACAACTTAATTCAATCAAAGAGCCACTGATGGTTCTCAAATAAAATTATAAAGCCCAATTTATCCAATCTAATCCAAATCTAGAGTATAACAGAGAGAGAGAGAGAACCTGAGCTTCAGATATGGTGAAAGCAGATGCTGTGGAGTGGTTGCCGCTCTATGGTTTTGGCACAGAAGAGGAAGAGGGTAGAGTTTAGCGCGATAGAAAAAAAAAGAAATAATAAAAAATCAATAACGATGAACAGTACCTCGTTTGTTGTAGCGAGATACTGTAGCACCCTTAAATTTTGGCGTGCTTATAGCGAAATTGATGGACCTGGTTTTTTAGAGTTTATCTCACTAGTTTAGTTGGAAAAGAACTCTACCGAGTTTGATGAGGTTGCTCTAAAATAACATTATTTTTTATTATCGATTTTACTTAATAATGAAAATAGGTAAATGGTTTATATTGAAAAAAAAAATATTTGGGGTTTAAATTTGGGAGATTGACCAATAAGTCCCATATTTTGGACTTGAAATCCATGTAATATCATATTTTTTCCTTGTGATCCATTTAGTCTTTTTGGATATGTAATAACTCATTTGTCCGCCATATTAGAGTATCACATTTGGAAAAAGAGCACTAAAGAGTTTTTTAGTGTTACATCATATCCGCCACGTTAGAGTGTCACATTTGACAAAAAGTACACTAAATAATTTTTAATTTTTTTAGAGTGTCATATTATACTCGCCACATTGGTATATCATATGTCACGTTTGGAAAAAGTAAACTACGGAATTTTTAATTTTTTTTAGAGTGTCACATCATGTCTGTCACGTTGTCACATTTGAAAAAAGTACATCAATGAGTTTTTTTTTTTTTTTTTTTGAAGTGTTATATCATACTGGCCCCGTTGTTACATTTGAAAAAAGTACACTAAAGAGTTTTTATTTTTTTTGAATAAAAGTTTTGGAGTGTCACATCATACCTACTACATTGTCACATTTAGAAAAGGTACACTGAGGAGTTATTAATTTTTTTGGAGTGTCACGTCGTTGGAGTGCCACATTAATACTTGCCACATTGGAGTGTCATATCATACCTGTCACATTAATAAAGGGTATAGTTGTCCACCAAAACACTACCAAAATAAAAAATAAGATCACACGAAAGAAACTCTCTACTAACAGGACTTAACAGATCAATAGAAAAAACTTTGTACTAATTGAAGTACTTGTTTGTCAGATAAGATTTATTGGTAAATATCTCTTTAAAGTAATAAAATGAAAAACTTAAGATTTATTTTGTTACAAGAGTAACTGTGATATTGTTTTTGTAATTTTTTTTTATTTTTCTTGATAAATTATACTTTGTTCTTATATATTTGGTCATTTTCTCACTTTAGTTCTTTTTTCTTTTTTTTTCTTTTTTTGCTCATTCATGTTTCAATTTTTTTTTCTAGTTTATCCTTTTTCTTTTTTTCTTTTTAAATTATACAAAAAAATCACGTTAACTACCACATGAGATAAAAATATGTTATTATATTATGATTTGGCTTTGTGTTAAATGTGTGATTTATATATAATAAAATATTTTTATGACACATGTCTATCAATGTGCTATTTTTTTTCTAATTTGGACATAAGTCAGTTTTTAGATTAATTGAGATAAATTTGAAACAAAAGAGCCAAAGTGGAAGAAAAAATATATATTATTATGAAGCAAAGTGAAAAATTAGCCAAACATAAAGGAATAAAGTGTAATATACCTTTATTTTTTTAAGAGTATAAGTTTTTAGTTGTGAATATATATTTACTAGTGGGTGGTATATGCAATATGTGCGTAATTAAAATAAGTACAAACAAAACAAACAAATATTACATTTTGTGTGTCACTCAAATAGTAAGTGTATTCTTTATCAAACCTAAGGTGTTAGGTTCAAGTTTTATCCTATTTTTTAATATATATATATATATATTTATTTAAATTGAAAAATCCACTTGGCACATAGAGAAGTAAAGGCTTCTGTACACCAACATAAGTGTTCACTTTTATATACAGTCTAGCGGTTAGCACATGTGATACATATGCAACTCAAATAAATAACAATAAAATAAAATATTTGCTATATATATTATGTGCTAGTTAAGCGGTAAGAGTATTATTTACCTGACCTAAGATCAAAGGTTTGAGTCTTACTCCTTGTGTCTATTTAATTTTTTGTTTTAAATATAAAAGTCAATACTTAATATTTACTATATATTGTATGACGGGTCGAGTTTGGAACGGACTCCTCTTTCTCTATCATTATCTCTTTCTCTTCAAATTGTGATGCCACTGCCATCACAAGATCTTTAGGTCTTGGCTGGGGTTGAGAAGTATCCATCATGCATAGATCAGTGCTCTCAAGAATATGGACCTCGGGTCTAGGTAAGTGGGAAGGGGTGATATATATGCTGGGTTTAAAGGTGGGTGGTAGTGTATGGGTAAGGTTAAGGCGAGAAGATAGTGGTATTCGGTTAGGGGGAGGCAGTGGGTTGATGGTGACATTTTGGCCTTTGTGGTGGAGCTATGATTTTATGATCAATGAGATCCTGAATCTCATGACGGAGGCGAACACACCGGTTAGTTTCATGGCCATGTTGCCGGTGAAAGGAACAGTATTTAGATGCATCGTACCTGCAAAAAAGAATGTCAGAAAGAGGGTGAGGTTCAAGAGATTTTAGGTGGCCTTTCTCCACCAACACTTTCATGGCTCAGAATAGGATCATGTAAAAGGGGTAAAAGTTACGATTCAGGGGTCGGTTTGAATTGTGGGGTTGTGGGTGGGTATTGGCAAACGAGTTGACTATTTTGGCCAATAAGGTAATAGTACTGACTTCTGAAGGCTTCACAACTATACCACTACTGCTAATAGCATTGGAACCGCAAAGAAATGTTTTTCTCATGAGCCCTTTCTCATCTACTATAATTCCCTACTTTATGGCGTCCTTAATCTGGACCCCCATCTCATGTAATTCCTTGAAAGTAAAGAGTGGAAGGACTATCATCTTTTATAACATTTTTCCATGCATATTTCTAACCACCATTCGAATGGCCGCCTTAGCTCTCTACCTAATTACAAACTCCACAAAGCTCTCATTTGGTTATTGACGGGTAACCTCTAACTCTAGAGTGGTTACCTCGATCTAAGTGTTATAGGAATATTGAGTAATGAAAGCCTCAGCTAACTCCTCTAAATTTTCTTTTACTTTATCCTCCAACTTGGCATACTAGGTGACAGTTACTCTCGAAAAAGTCCTCACAAATAGAGACAATTTCTGAGGACAGGTTAGACCCATGGGTTTCAAAACATCTGAAAATAAGCAGATATGCACCATAGGGTCCCCAAACCCATCAAACCAATCCATATGTAGCATTTTGAACCTTTTCGGTAATCTCACAGCCGCCTTTGTATACCCATCTTTTATGTTTGGAATGGAATTGATCCCTTAGGATTTTTTGAACATCTTCTCCAATTTGGCTATCTTTAACATAGCCGAATCAAATTCAGCGAGGTCAAGGAGGAAAAGCCCTTCAATATGCTGTGTTGGAGCTTTTAAGGTTAGGGTTGAGCTGGCTTCTCTTACTGGCCAAGTTCTGGGAAATTCGTGACCATCGAAAGTGGGTCTAAAACCAAATGATTGATTAGTAATGGATGTGTGGTAGTTGCCCCTGTTGGTTGTTGCATGCTACCAATGGCATCGCCTTGAATAGTTATGGTGTGATTAAGATTGTCCATGGTTCGCTGAAGATTGGTAATCATCTCTACTAAATCTAGTGGATTCTGAGCCATTGTAGAAATTGGTGAACGAACAACTAGGATATTATGCAGAGGGGATCAGAGAGGTGACTAATGTGGAATTTGTTGAAGGGATCTGAGAGGTGACTTATGAGGACTCTGATCTAGCTGGGTTTGTCTAATTCTTCTTATATTGACAATTGATGAAAGTGACACCAGCAGTAGCTGACCTTGAACTAGATCTGTAGTTTTGTAGAGCCTACCAGCACGAGTCCATAGATTTTGAGGGATGTCAGGGTTTTCTGAAGCTATG